GAGATTCACCTGTCTAGAAGGCCTAAGGGTACTCACGTAGCCTCATTTTCTTTCCTTTCTCTGCAGGCTGGGGAGGAAGCTGATGCCTTATGGATGACCCATGGGCCCTGGGCCCCACTGGGTTGAATGGACAGAGTCTCAGTGGCAAAAAGAGTGGCCGGAGCACAGTGGGAACCTTGGCACTTCTCCATCTGGGGAAGCCTGAGGGAAGAAAATTCTTGGGCAAGTTCTGGGCCACTGGGCCAGGGAAGCAACTTCTGGCTTCTGGTCATTCAAATAACTAATTTGAATGGTGAAGAAAGGGACAGATTAGAGATGGAACAGGGTGAGGAAGCACAAACAAGACAGGTGGTCTGAGTTAGCAGAGCTAGAGTCAGATAGTTAAGAGGCCAGCATGGGACCATTCCAGTGGACTATTTGGATCTTATTTGACTAGTGGGCTAGAAAGACAGTGTGATCAGAGGATGACCCCATACCGATCCCAACCTCTGAGCAGTTGTCTTGAGTAATGGTAGACATTTGACTGTACATTTGGGTTCCCAGAGGCCCTTTTTCCCACATGATCTCACAGAATCCTTGCAAATTGCCACTGAGGCTAGTAAGCAGGAGAGCTATTTTTCAGATAAGGAAACTGGGATTGACAACCAAAGGCCATGGGAAACAGAGCTGGAAGGCCTAGCTTCCTGGCTGCTGAAGCAGTCTGAAAACAGATTGCCAGGGGTCCTGAGACCCAGATCCTTCTCTTCCCACCCTCACCCCCTTTCCTGACAAAATGCACAGGTTTCAAGGCTAAAGTCACATGGACTCTGATCTGACCAGGACAGAACCACTACTGGTAGTGGCTGGGGTACAGGAGAGAACAGAAAGCTTAGGGCTGTCTATTATCTCCAAATGTTAAAAAAAGAACTCTAAGCCCTTCAGTGTTTGCTGTGTGCCAGGCCCACCAGTGTAGATTCCCAGGCAGGCACCCCTCTTAAGGGCCAGGATCACCCTGGCTCCCTTCCTTGGCCATGGGCTAGGCACAGGCATTGCTGCTTTCTAACCCATGCTCAGTTACCTGGAGAGTGAAAGCACTCATGCTGTAGAACCAGACAGCCCTCAGTTCCGATCCTGCTTCAGGTACTGGCTGCTGTGTGCCCTTGGGCACATCACTCCACCTGTCTGAGCCTCAATCCAAGTCATCATTTGTAAAGAGCAGATAAAGGAATATCTTAAAGGAGGAAATACATAGAACAGTATCTATAAAGGGGTGCCTGGCTGGCTCAGTTGGTAGAGCATACACCTTTTGATCTCAGGAGCATGGGTTCAAGCCCTGCTGTGTGTGGAGCCTACTTAAAAAAAATAAATAAATAAAGCAGTATTTATAGAGCACTTAGCTCAGAGCCTGGCAAGGAGTAATCAATAAACAACTACATTCATCCCTTCTGTGGCCCTTCTAGTAGGTTCTATTGCAAGCACAGAGCAGAGGCTGTCAAATGTGAGCCTATACAAAGTTTCCTTGGACTATTGGCTAAAACAACAGAACTTCTGACTCCAAAGCCCGGGGAAGGCCCAGGAATCTGGCCCTCCATGGGCCCTAAAACCACAAGGTGGTAAGCAAGTTCCTTAAGCAGAGGCCAGAGGGGTCCAGGTGCAGTTCCTAAAGAACTCCCTGGACTCTATGCGGTCTTTGGTGGCTTGGGAGATGTCCTTCCTGATGGACTCCATCATTATGCATCCCCTGGTCCTGGAACTCCTCAGGCTGCACTGGCCTCCCTCACTTTCTGGAGGGCTGAGAATGTGTACATGTAATCCCTCATGGTCCCTGGACCAGAGCAGCCCTTATTTACCAAGCAGAATGGGAATGGCTGGCCAGGGAATGGGGATTTCAGGAGGAGGCCAAGCGTCCGAATTCAGTGCCCCTCTGCTTCCTCCTCTCTCACAGCCCAGTCCTGAGTCCAGCTCCAGCACATGCAGCATGGGCCTCAGCAGGTCAGTGCTGTCCCCAGGCTGTCCTGGAGAGCCTCCTGTGGTACTTGCTTCCCAAGCAGAGCCAGCCTGAGGTTTCCAAGGCTCCTGCTGCCCCCTTGAGGCCAGCTCCTGCAGTTGTTGCTCCTGGGTCCCCTCTGTGCTTGGAAGCCCCTGGGCCAAGTCCGTCTGTGACAGCCCCAGAGGGTTAGGGAGGTCAAAAGGTTGGGAGTATTTCTGCTCCTGCGTGTGGCACCACCGCACCAGTGACAACTGGGCACCCAGAGCCCAGCCAGAGCACACCTGGATGGCCACAGGGTACGAGTGAAAGGATCTATATCTTGTGTGTTGGGGGTTCCTGCCACTCCCCTTGACTTCCCCACCTGCAAAATGGGAATAATGATGATTGTATCCACACATGGCCTTTGAGAGAACAAGATGATTCCTTGGCCAGTAGGAGATTATAATTAACATGAATATGGCTAAGTTTCACTGAGCACATATGATGAGCCCGGCACTATGCTTTCCCTATATCACCTCATTGAATCCTCCATAAAAACAAACTTCTGAAGGAAGAACCATTAGTATCCTTATTTTACAAAAGAGGAAACTGAGGCTCAGTGAGTAGGCAATTTGCCCATAATTACACGTAGTGAAAGGGAGAGGCAGGGTCGCCGTCCAGGCCTGTGTGATGCCATACCCCGTGTCCTTCACCTGCCTCTGGCAAGTTTTCACCTCCACAGGCACTCGGCATCTCTCTCTCAGCTCCCTCCCCTCCTTCTCTCTCTCATCCTTTCTCATTTCTCTGCTGATTTGAATTGATGGTCAGCTTCTTCAGGTCAACAGCCCAGTACCATTGTCCTGGCACAGGGGACGCCCGGGGTCTTGGTATGGAGCAGACACATGGAGTACTGGTGGTGGCCCACAGAGGGCTGCTCTAGAGGCGAGTTCAGACGACCAGTTCTCAATGATTAAGCCCTTACTGGTTTCTAGGCATTGGCAATACCTTCCCTCACTAAATTATCTGAAGTAACATTGCGGTAGCTTGTTCTGGCTGGGCCCATTTTACAGGTGAAAAAAGCAAGTCTTGAAGAACTGAAAGCTCTTGCTCGAGGTTACACAGCTATTAGATGGGACAGTCTGGGTCTGGCTTTCAAACCCCAGTCTCCTGTCTCGCCTCCTGGGTCATCTGCAGGAATGTGCCCATTTGTGCGAAGTGTGTGTCCTGTGGTGGGGAGCAGTCACCACACACATTGCTAGGGAGCCCTGTGTGCTCCTGTCCAGTGTTCCCAGGATGGCTGGGGGTCCTCCTGGATCTTACCTTCCCCCTCCACAGCTCTTCAGCCACCTCACACCCCAGAAGGGCCTCCCTCAGAGGCAACCAGGGGCTCTAGGTTCAGAGGGCCTGTACGCTTGTTCTTCCAGCCACAGCAAGATGCATGGACTAATGGAGGAGCCTGCCCAGCCCAGCCCAGGGGCTCTGATTGCCTGGTTCTGCTGTGTCCTAGCACTACAGCCTTCCTGGACAATGGTCACTTCACTTGTGAAGTGGGGAAAGTGAGTACTGACCTCCCAGGGTTGGTGGGAGGATCAAGCAGCTAAGACCTTCGCGTGTTTGCCTGGCAAAGCCCTGACAGGTGGTGGGCACTCAGTCGGGGCAGCTGCCATCAGACTGCCAATTCACTGATCACCTCACATTGATCTGGAGTTTTCACCTTTGAGAAAGATAGAATGGGAAAAAAATAATTAGGGATTGATTAATAAAGATAATTTAATCGTTAGCCAAGAGTTTTCAAAACAAAGGCTGTTTGGGACCAAATAGCAAACAGAGTGTCTGATTGCGAAGTGGGAATCCCTGCTCTGAGGTCTTTGGACCTGGGGGTGGGAGGGAGCCAAGAAATGGAATCTCACAAAAGGGCTGGTCTGAGATTTGTCCTTGAGTCCGTCAGAGGTCACAGGAAAAGGACACAGCATTGTGGTTTTTTAAGGGCAGTTATGAAATGGTTTCTGCTGACTGGTTTCCAGAACACCGTTCTCCTTCACTCTGAACCCGGCATGCTGGAGACAGTGATTTGAAAAAATAGCCTTGTTCCTGGTTCCCTGCTTCCTTGTTTCTGGCAGCAATTTCTGTTCTGCCCCAGGGCATGCCATGGCCAGGAAAGTCCTAATCTGGGAGTCAGGAGGCCTGGGCCATAGCTCTTATTCGCAGCCAGCTGGCAGTGTCACCCCAGGCAAGTCAGACCACTTCTTTGGACCCCTGTCTGCTCACCAGCAAAACAAGGGAGTTGAACTAGATGATGAGTTACTAACAGCCTTGACATTCTTGGATTTCTTTTCCGTGAATATTAAACCACTGCTTTCTCTTCCTGGCAGCTAAGAATTCAAGTGTAACTGGACTGTCTTTGCACCCCTGTGCCTAGGGCAGGGCCTTTCAGAGTGGAAAGCTGGTGTTCTAGCCCCAGCTTGGTCATTTACTAACTGAGGGAGCATGGCAAGCCACACCTCATGGAGCCATTTCTCTGCCTTAAATTGGGGTTTAGTTTCTCCAGCACAGGGTGATCGAGAGTGACAATACATATAAAGCCCCTAACGCATAGTAGGCCCTCAGAATCCTCTGTTGAGTGACATTCCCCCACAAAGCAGTGGTTTGAACTGAACTGTTAGCTTGCAAAGTGGAACCCTGCTCCTGCTCCTGCTGCACTAGTAATGGGGACACTTTTTTCCCCATCAAAGAGATCCAGATCCAGCAAAACACATGCATCACAGCACCAGCCAGCAGACCAGGAAGCATGGAGCTCTATTATTCTCCATGATGCACTTGGAAAAAACTACAGATTTAAGCCTATTGATGCAAAAACCCTGATTTGTTCTCAAAACTAGAGCTGAATCTTTTACTCAAGAAGAGAATTCTCAGAGAAGCCAGTTGTTCTCTAAAATAAAATCACATAAAATTTTCTAATTCTGGACAATCAGGCCATTTCTCTGATATTCCAGCACCTTAGGTTTCAAGTTTCAAGATAGAAGTCATTTAAGGAAATACAAGCTCAACCTCTCATTTGATGGGAAAAGAAATTGAATATACTAAGTCCAAGGTAACAGACCACCATCAATTCAATGAAATGATTAAATTTACTCTGACTATACAGTATCGTATTCTCCACGTTCAAACAGCACTTTCACACATATGTGCCCACTTAATGACCTTATGAGGTAGACAGCAGTGTCTCTATTTAACAGTTGAGGAAATCAAAGTTCACAATGTTGAAAGAATCAGCCCATGATCACCCTGCTTTGCTTCCAAATCTCTGTGGCTGACCCAGGACTTCTCCCCATGGCTGTGGGAAGCATCAGACTGATTCTGAAGAGAAGTAGATGTATTTGGGCCCCTATGACCCAGAAGGTCAGCCTGTGGACATGGAGGGGAAGACTGTGAGTGTCGAGGTGACTGTTGGGTGTGGGTACAGAGTGGTCACTCACATGCCTTGGGTCCAGGAAAATGGACTACACCACTCCTAAAAGTTGTCTATGTGCCTAGGCCCACATCAAGTATCAGGGTGTCAGACAATGCAGCTCCTGCCCTTAAAGAGTTGATGAATCATTAAGAGACAGGGGTGACTTCCATGAATCAAATGGAGAAGAGTATTCAGCAATGAAAAGCCATGAACTACTGATAGACACAGCAAGGATGATTCCTGAAAACATTATATTGAATGGAAAAAGAAAAGCCAGACACAGCAGAATGCTTACTGATTGCTTTATATGAAACTAGAAAAAGTGAATCTATAGAGATAGGAAGCAGAGCAGTTGGTTACCTGAGGCCAGGGGCAGGTGGACCAGGATGAGGCAAAGAGGAACTTTCTGGAAATTGTCTATATCTTGACTGCAGTGGTGATTACACAGTGTATACATTTTTGTGTAAACTTGTCAAAACTCATCGAAATGTATATATGAAATGCATGTGTTTGTTGTACAAAAATTATGCCTTAGTAAAGTTGATTTTTTTGAAAACACACAGTTCTTGGTCTCTTGGAGCTTACAGTCTGGTGGAAAATATAGATATTGATAAAGTTATCATGTAAATAAATACAAAATAACCATGACTGAGATAAGAGTTATGAAGGATGTTATGTGGAGTATGAGAATGTGTCATAGGGACAGAGTCAATTCAGGTAGACCCGGAAAGCCCTCCCTGAGGAGGCAACATGGATGTGGACTTAGGGATAAGTGGACATGAACCAGGGGAGATGATGGTGGCAGAGTGAACAGCATGTGTTAAGGGCCTGTGGTTGAAGGTAATCTAATGAGGATCACTGAAAGGACAATGAGGGAAAAGGAGGGAGGTGGTAGGAGATGGGTCTCAGGAGGTAAGACCAGATAGGAATGCTTTAGCCTGAGTAACAGTTTGTATTTTTCCTGAGAGAAATAGAAGTCCATTGAGGCATTTAAGTGGTGGTATGTCAGTAATGTGACCAGCTCAGTTTATGGATTAACAGCATAGTGTTAGTACTCACCTCTCTCTCCTTCTGGCTGTAAGATTCCTTTTTTTTTTTAAGATTTTATTTATTTATTCATGAAAGACACACAGAGAGAGGCAGAGACATAAGCAGAGGGAGAAGCAGGCTCCTCATGGGGAGCCTTGATGTGGGACTTGATCCCAGACCCCGGAATCACAACCTGAGCCCAAGGCAGATGTTCAACAACTGAGCCTCCAAGGTGCCCTAGCTGTAAGATTCTTGAGATTAGAACTAAGCCTTAACAATCTGTGTAGCCACCACAGAAACTTCAGCAGTAGAAAATATAAACAGAGGCACAAGAACTGTTATGAATGAATGAATGAATGAACCATTCCTCAGCACCCAGATAACCGTTTTTCTGAAGTCATCTGATTAAATTATAAATTTAGAATTTCTTCTCCCCAAACGGAAGACATGACCGAGGATAAGAGAACCACATCTTCATACTGTCCCACATGGACATCCACTGCCAGGAAGACATCACACCCAACTCTTCCCCTCATTACTGGTCCCTCAGCAGATCAGTCAAGGGCCTCTGGAGGTCACCTCACCTGTGCAGTAGGCTTATAGCCCCAGATCTCCTCTGTGCACATCTGTGATCCAGATGCTGCTGTCCACCAGGCACGTGGCAGAGACATCCATCACTCTCATGTCTTTGCTAGACTTGCCATCCTCTCTCAGAGCCACTGGGAGACTGCTTACAGTGTCTCTGAAGACCTAGCTCAGTGCCTGTGCCCCTGGAAGCCCTTCCTGTCCACCTCAACCCATTAGCTACCACGTTGTCCTGCCCCTAGGACAGCACTTGTCCCATAATATGTTTGCCTTGTTCCTTCCTTATCCCAACACACAGTCCTCCCAGTGTTCTTACCTTCCCTTCTTGTGCCAAGCAGTGCCTGGCACAGAGTCGAGTGAACAGAAAGGAAAGGAAAGACGTGGGCTGAGCTAAAGGGGGGCTTACGTAGATTCCCTTTAGAAAAGTAGTTGACTAGAGGGACAGGGAGAAACTATCATGATTTACTGTCTCCCAAGGAGTTAACCAGTTTGGGAAAGACATAAAGGTCCCCTCAAAGCAGAGGGGAAATTCTTTTTCCTTGTTCCCCTTGGGGTGGAAGAGTTCACCTCATCGTTTTTGTCCCAGCTCCCCCAGACTTCACAGTTAGCCGATGGGCAATTGGTGTGGTGTAAATCTTGGCTTTAGTTGTGGAGCTCCCTGGGGCTCTCCCAGACCCCACCGGCCCTCTCCTCTGCTTCCCCTTGCTCTCTGTTCACGACCCTCTTCCCTCTGTCCAGAGTGGATGGACCGGACCCCCTTTGACACACTCGCAGCGAGGGAACCAGGAATGCCCCAGCAAGGCTGTGTCACCACCACAGGCTGGGGACAGACTCTATTAAACCAAGAGACAAACTGCAAAATGACAAAGTTGCAAGATCCAGCACGAGATGAGTCCGTCTTCTTCCGCTGTTCTTTAAAGCAGATTCATTTCTCTTTTGACATTTTCATGGAAATGTAGATTTTCTTCCCTGCAAGACCAAGGGGTGAGGTTTAGAAGAAATGTAGGTTAAATTGGAAGGGGAAATGCAGTAGCTGATTAGGGAAAGATCATTAGCTTCGAGGTTAGATAAAAGTGGGTGCAGACCCCAGCTCAGTCACATCCGTGCAAGCCTGACTTCTAAATAGCAGGCATGGCACACAGAGCCATGTTGGCAATGGTGATTTGTGTGGAGGGACTGTTTGCAAAACACCTTGCTGAGACCTTTATGTGCAGCTCCATTTAATTTGCATGGTAACCCTGTGAGGTAGGTTACATTTACAGAAAAGGAAACTGAGGCTCAGAACTGACATGGTTAAGAAAGGGAGAGGAGTTCCTCTGTAGTATTATGATTATTATTTGACAGCCTAAGCTCTAGGGTGAGACCTTACATCTTGTATCAGAAAGGGTCTTATTTCCTCAACTAGACTATGATTTTTCTCATTTAAATGATTTGCATATCTCATTCACCTCTGTACCCCCCCAGTTCAGTGATGTACACATTTTAGGGGCTTATGAAATGGCAACCAATTAACATGAACAGGCTTTGGAGAGCCTGAAGTTCTGGCTTTTTAATAGCATAATCTCTCCCCTCTCTACCCATTAAAAAAAAAAAAGAAAGTCATCTTAAGTGTGAATGTACCATTATAAAATATATCAAATGTAGAAAATTCAGAAAAATACAAACATAAGGAGAAAAAAATCATATATGATCTTACCATCCAAGCATATCATTTTGTCTTATTTCCTTCCTATCCAGAAATTATTTTATTGGTCTTTATCTAAGAGATTCTTTATAAATGTTTATTTTTTTACAGTAAAAAAGTACATTCAAACATTGGAAATGGGATAAAAAAGTGAAAAGTAATATGTTACTCAGACTCTCACAACCAAGAGTTGATTCTTGTTAGCATTTTTGGCATATTTGACTTGACCTCGCTGCATGCCACTCTGAGGGGCCCTCATGGCAGCAGAGCAACCCCAGCCCAGGCTGATATTAAGATCAGCCACGAAACCTCTGCAAACCACGAAACCAGACTGCATAAGGCAGAGGGGTTTGTCTGGTTGTGTAGTCTAACACTGAACATGGAAAGTATAGGATCTCTGATTTATTCCTAGTGATCGCATGGTATTCCATTATACAGCTGAACTGAAAATCAGTAACCCGTTCCAGGTTGTGGGAGTAGAAGTGGTTTTCAATCAGTCACGTTTGTAAGCACCCGTGAAATAAACATCTCCGCTGTTCCTCTGCGAACAGGCTCCCCAGGAACTGAGTCAGGGGGCGAGGTACCCTGGACAGCCAGACTCCGAAGGCTGAGATTCATCTGCCTCCCACTGCTGTTCAGTTCAGTATAAGCCTGAGCCACTGTGGGTCTGGCGGAGCAGATGGACTTAGCTTATTTGTAGGAGTAGGTTTCTGACCAGGAAATGACTTGGTGGGTTCCCTTGAGAGGCCTCCTGTGACTTTCCTAGAGTGTTGGCTTTTGAGCTACCCTGTGGACAAAGACATGAGAATAGAGATAGCAAAATAGTAGAAATTGAAAATTTTAGAATTAATAGGTGCCCATGAAAAATGTTCCAACATTTCAGAGGAAGCAAAGGCAAAAAAATAATAAAAGCCGCCTCTCTCTCTCTCTCTCTCTCTCTCTCTCTTTCTCCCCCCCCCCCTCTGTTTCTCACCCAGATTCCCCATTCCCTTTCCAGGGGCAACTATTGTCCATAGTTTTTTTGTATCCTTCAAGAACCGCCTACACTTACACGATCATCTCTGTCTTTCTGCCTGTTATTCACTTGTCCAGCTATCTTTCTCCCATCGATGTCTATGGCTCCTCATCCATCCATCATCCATCCATCCATCCATCCATCCATCCATCATCCATCCATCTTAAAGATAAATAAGCTTAAATGAATGGTGGTCACAGATAAAGCAGTTCAGAAGGGTCTTTAGGAGGTAGAACCCTGGGTCCCCAGCCCAGCACCACCCTGCTTTGTAACTTTGGCCAAGATGCCTTACTTCTCTCTGCCCCAGATCCCTGATATAAGGGAGCTGTGGATGAGCCTTGAAAAGTGGAGACACGAAGGCCAACTCGAAAGTCGCTGGCGAGTCCTGCTCTCCCACTATCTGCGGTGAGGAACGACATCAGTGAAGGAGGGAGCAGGAGAGGACATGAGGGAAGCATGGTGGCCCAGGAGAGTCCACCTTCCAGCACGAGTTGGTCGTATTGGCAGCCCACAGCGCAGTGAAAGGGGACAGTGATATTTCATAAACATTACCTCACCAGTTTTGCGGGAGATAAGATGTTTGCTAAACTTTGTTGGAAGAGCAGGACCTCCCTCGTGACCACCAGGACAGCTTGTTCAGACCGGCTGCAGGGCCCTCCAGCCGACCTTGCCCAAAATACAGGAACCAGCAAATGGCATCAGGGCTATTTAGTGTAAATAGAGGCAAATGGTCTCGGGATAAAGGACAAAGCGGTCATGGCTGGGAGAGGGACGGTGACCTCCTCACAAGCCAGTGTCTGTGAACACCTTGCAATCTGGGGTTTGACCCCCTAATGTAGCACTGGCTCACTTGGGGGTGCCCTTTGGGATTGGGGTTTGCATCAGAACCTCCACGTGGCACTACCCCATTGGGAAGGATTTACATGGAATGCCATGTGGAGGGTGCCCCCTGGAGTTATGTGGTGGGGCAGCCTGGCAGGTGCGCAGGGAAACAGGGGCTCTAGGATCCTGAGGAACCTGATCTGGCCACCAGCCTCTTCACCCCTACCATTTACTCTCCTCCTCAAAACAGCAGGATTCTTGGCTCTGTAATATTGATACTGGGTAGCAAACTTGAACCTTTTCTTATCAGAGCAAGACCTGGCTCTAGTTCCCACACCTCCCTGTTAAGGACAGCCAGGGCATAAGTAAGAGGCACTAACCGAATGAATGTTCTCTAACCCTCCACACAAAGTGGAAACATCACTAATATACAGATCGGAGCCCAACAGAAATGTCTTTGGTAACTCTTGGGGCCCCCTAGACATGGACTGTGGGGCAGGCCACACCCTGTATTCTTTTTCAATTCAGGTTCAGGTGTATAAAAAACTGGGGAAAGGCTAGCACAACTTTTTTTTTTAACACTACTTTGAAAAAAATGTGATCTGATGGAAATGTTTGCGTATAATGGACACTTTCTCTGTGGACTATGCATATAACTCATTTTGAGATATCAAAGGTCTGGAATTGGAAGGCCTTAATGATCATTAGGCCTTGGCCACATTTCCTTCTACACAATCTTCCAAAGACAAAGGATTTAACCCAGTAAGTAGTGATGTCCCCATTGCACAAGGCAAGCACCATGATGTGAGTGCCACTGAGAGGGTTCACTGTGTGGGTCTGAGGCTGTTTAGGAAACATGGACTGCAGGACGGTTCCAGCACCAAAGGCACATTCAGTTCCAAATCTGGGAAGTCCCTCCTGATGGTCTGACTTGACTGTGAACAGAAATAGAGTCTGGGAGGCACCCCAGCCTGGACAGTATCCAGGACAGCATGGTGTTTAATGCAATAAATTAAAAACCCAATTTGAGAGTTAAGAAATGTAATTCACCTTGTTCAGTGAGCCGATAGCCTTGTTTCTCTGAGTCTCAGTTTCTCCATCTGTAGAATGGAAGTGATAATTCTTGATTTGTGGGGTTTTGATAAAAACTAAAAGAGATAATGTGTTTGGGAAGTCCAGATCAGTGCCAGGAAAAAAAAAAATATATATATATATAGAGAGAGAGAGAGCATAATTCCCAGAGGTCTCTTGAGCAAGGAAAACTGAATTGCTAAGTGAAAAACCAGGTATCAGATGGAGTTCTTTCTTGCTCTCTCTTCTGCCTCCAGCTCCACAGCTCTGGAATTAGCACCTCCCTCTCTGAATCTAAATGCCTGGCCTACCCTGGCAGGCATAAGCTTGGGATCTGAGGACAAGCATGGGTGAATGACCTCCCTTGGCACTTATATATAGCTTCTGGGCATGTGTTGTCTGCAGGTCTTACTAACTCTGACCAACAGATTAAACAGATGGGCGGATAGTACCTTTATAAGAACAAGTATCATTTGTGCAGCCCTTAGTATTTGCCACTTACTTGCTGTGTGACCTTGAGCAAGTTACTTAACCTCTCTTAGCCTTAGACTCCTGATATGTAAGTTGGAGGAAATAATAATACTTATTCTCAGGGTGATCATGACAATAAATCCAGCTCATTCATACTTAAAAAAAAAAAAAGACAGACAGTGCTGGATACATAGTAAGTCTCAATATAAAAATGTTAAGTGCCTCTGCTCCTCCTCACCACACATTAGTCCCCTCCACCTGATGTTGCCCCATCCTTTCGCCCATAATATCACACAAGTTGCCTCTCAGGGTCCCATTTATCCCAAATCCTCTTTCTGATTAGTTCATTGTCCTGATGGCTACCAGGGTTCTTGTCAATGCAATCATTGGTCCTTAGCTATTTGAAAATTCTGTTGAATCCAGAAGACCTATCTCTGTCCTCACAGGCCCTGGGCCCATCTGTGTTTGGCTTTTGCATTCTGCGCTTCCTAATTCCATTTCTGGGGCTTAATTATGATTACACAGCTTCATTACATAGAGTTGATTTTAAGTAATGGCCCTAATTAAGAGTGAATTTTAATTAAGCTTAATCCAGAGCCTGCCTCCGATTGCCAAAGATTTGCAGCCTGAGAAAGGGAAAGCCTGCTGGTGCACAAAACTTTGACCTTCATGCTGCTGAGCCATGTTGGCCAGATGGGTCTGCTTGATTTTCTGGCCTCAGGAGCACACTTGTTCACCAGGCTGCAGGGATTAGGAACTACATCTCAACTTTTTTCCCCACCCAGCAGCACACTGTGACCTGGCAGTAAGGAAACAGTACACAACTAACTTCAAGGTAAGGGAGTCTGCACTTCCCAAGGCTCGGCCCAGGGGTCAGCATCTCTGTGGATGCCAAGCACATTGCCCACTCTGTCTTAGGAAATGGAAGAAAACTGCTTTCCTCCAGCTGCTCATAACACCCACTTTACAGATGGGAAAACTGAAGCACACAGCTAGTGAAGGCAGAGGGATGATTGGAAATCACATCTGTGAGTCTGGGAGACACCTACCTCCTTCAACCTCCTGCTCGGCCACCTAAAGCAGTGCATCCCAAGCGTTAGCCCTCCTATGCCATGCAGGTGAGTTTTGTCACACCCACAAACAAAATCTTTTACTTAATAGTAGAAAACATCTTAATCCATTGGTCTTAAAATAAAACTTTATAGTCTACCTTTAAAAGTCCCATCAGTCAAAGTTATAAAAACAAAACAATAAAAAATCAAACAATATTGTTCATTGGAAATGGTTACCTTCTAAAGGCCCAACACTCAGGCCTGGTCTTTCTTTATATAAAAAAAAAAAAAAAGAGAGAGAGAAAGAGATGAGGAAAATGTTAAAGACAGAGCATCCAATGCAGACTTTGTCCTTTATGTACTCAGAAGGATTGAAAGACAGTTGGAAAGATAATCGTACGTTACTATGGGATCTAATATTATTTAAAGTCCGGTCCAATGTCACCTAAGGTCAACTCTCATTTGTCTGAGACTTTTGGAGACACCTATCTAAGCCAATATAGCACATGGTTGCAGGCTTTGCATCTGATTAACACTGCCCCTCAGCAGCTCCGAGGGTGACAAAATTCTGGCCAGAGTTCTAGCTCTTCTGTCCCCTAGGCCTGGCCCAAGGACAAGGTGTGGAAATTCCTTTGGTGTTTCCAGTGCAAACACGGTGAAATCAATATGCTCTCTGAGGCTGGTGGGGTCGCTTCAGCTGCAGAGGACCAGCCTGACCACCCCTGTCTTGAATGTCCTCGCCACACCAATCTTTTTTACCATACTCTGAAGTGCCCACCTTATAAAATCGGTCACTTGAGAAGCTAAGTTCTAAAAACATTTTGATTCTTCTAGAAGGAAACAGAAAGTGAAAAATGGGATTCGGTTACCTTGAAAATAAAAGGGGCGATTTCACTCGCAAATGCCATACTTTAAAAGTTCAACTTGAAAACAGCCATTCAGATGAGTCGGGGGGGAAAAAAAAAGAAAATCATGTATTAATCCCCTTTCATTTACCCCTTCTGACAGAGTGTATCTTCCTTAGACTCAAAACCAGATAAATGGGCTTGAAACATAATTAAATAAGCACTTTATGACTTCTTTAATCCAAGCCATAGAACTTTTCCATTAAAGGTTAAGTATCTAGAAGCCCCATTTGCTGAACTGAACCAGTGACAGGGTGTTCTTCTGAATGGAGCTGGAGCAGGTACTCTTCACTCTTTTCCAAACAGATTTGGGGTGAAGTTACAACCAAACCCTTGAATAGAGCCAAAGACTCTTAGATGTAGCTGCGTAGTATATTCCTACTTTTTACACCTGGAAAACATCACTAGAAAAGAAGAGAGGAAAAAAAAAAGACAGCCTTGACTGAAATAGAAAAACATTATGGAAATTAACTTATGCCAGGCAACCAAACAACATAATCCTACGACATAATGGGATAACATAATTATCCCATTAAAACCACTACTCATTCATTTTTTCTTCATATTTTTATCCTTGGCAGTGAAGTGGTTTTGTGACCACCATTGATGGTTTCTTAAGGCGCACTTAGCATAATTTTCTCCTTCCATGAATAACTACAGCCAGAGCCAGATGGCCCAGGGGATGAATTTCTACTCTGCAAGTTACCAGTGGTAGAACTTTAGTCCTCACTGTCCCCATCTGAAAAACCGGGCAATAGTAGCACCCACCTCATTGGGATTGTTGTAAGGATTAAATGAGAGAGTGCTTAGCACAATGCATGGCACACAGTCAGTGCTCAGTGGACAGCTAATGGTTGATAGCAACCCTGGCTCAAGCTTGTGTCGTGGTGTATCTCAGCAACTACTGACTTGCCTGTTGAAGGAAGAGGCTCCTATGCTCAGAAGTATTCAGAAGACCTGCAGGAAGGTGGTGAGAGACTCAACTCCTCCTTGAGTCTTTGAGATGCTTCTCTGTCCTCATTTCAGTTTTCTGCCCACCGCATGGGCCAACGAGCTCTAGCCATAGCTGAAGCAGGTGCCGATTGCTCTCCTGAGGACCTGCCTGGCGGGATGGGGTCATGTGTAGCACATAGAAAAAGCGTGTGCTCAGACCAGCTCCCTCCTGGAAATCCATTTAGATTGTGGATCCAAAGAAAATTCTTCCAGGCTTCATGGCACAATGCCCCAACCTGCACACATATGCATTTCTTTCTCCGTATACATATTCTCTGCACATCTGAGCAAAAACCAGTCCATGCAAGTGGCATCTTGTGTGGGTAGCTGTCCAGCCCTATGATAAAATGTACTGTTTCTCCCTGAGTGAAGCTTAATGTGCCTCAGCCTGGGGATTTATACCAAGCAATAAAATCCACAGAATAGAGAAATGCAAATAGATTGTAGAATATAATATTATCATTGTCAACATAAAAGACTTTTATTTACTGCCCCCCAAAAGAAAATACACTATAGTGTCATTTGTTTCAGGGAATGCAAAAAAGGTTTCAACAACTAACAGGGCATGTTTCTGAGCAAAATACACCCCGTATATGATGTTGAAGCACATATTGTCAGTGGCCACTTGTGTGTCTGTGTTCTTACAAACAAACCTGTGGAGTCAAGCTACAGAAGGTCACTTCCAGCCTGCCTGTCTGAGCCAGAGGCCACCTACCTGTCTCCACAAACAAACCAAACAACATGGATTTACTTGGAGGAAGGCCCTGTGAGGCCGGGTTTCAATACCTCAGTACCTCATCCTCAGTCCCTCAGGATGAGGCACTGCAGACCTGGCTTTCTGAGGTCTAGGGATGCATGAGATGTTGAGTGAACGGGGGATATGTGTTGCTTTCGGCAAGGAGAAGTTGCAGCAGAGCAAAGATAGGAAGCAGAGACTCGCTCTAGTCTTTTCTCTAGGACATGTCCCCCACACCCAGTGCTAAAAGACACTCCATCAACCCTTTTGTTGCACAGGACACTGACATCTAATGAGACCAACTATTTCTATGGATTTGTTTGAATACTAAATGTGTTATTTTATTTAGTGATTTGGGTGTCATATTAGACCTGGCCACAGTTACAGTTTCATTTCTACCTGAGGCAGAAGGATCTGAATTTCTAAGGCTTTAAAAAGTAATAACTACCTGAACTATGTTTTATGTAAAGATACATTCTAGCTGATTCTCTCATTAGTCTTAAGAAATGTGCAGACATTAGTATAGCCACAGTATAGATGAGAAAACAGAGGATTGAAAGAAGTAAAGTGCATTATCTGTGGTCACCCAACGTGGGAGAGGAGAAACTGAGATACAAAGTCAGGTCTGTCTGATGCCAGAGACATTGGTTCTGAACTCTACACCAACCTGTATACTCCCCCACAAGGAAAGCCTCTATGCAACCTCTGCTGGGTGCCCCAACTTGGGCAGGTCACTCAGTCTTCACAGGTAAGGTAGGTATTATAGTTTCCAATCACAGATGAGAACTGGTGCTCAAGAAGGAATGCATTTGCCCAAATCACACAGATACTATGGAACCTACTATAGACCCTAAGCCATGATTCCTAACCCTATGAGGTATAAAGTGACAACCAGGTGTGATGGTTCTGCTTGTTCCAGAACACCACATTCTGAGTAACAGTCCTACATGTTGGAAGAGTTTTGTAAGTTTCAGCAACCAAATCAATAACCTCACGTCACATTCAAAAATTCATATTTTTTTACTTACGGCTCATTTGGACAAGGAATGTCCCCATATTTGAGAAGATGGTTCAGAAATGAGCTCCTGGCAGTCCCCAGGGTTTATGCATCCAGGACGGGCTAGAGCCACTGGAGGGGGGCATGACAGCTAACTTCAATTAAGGAAGGAAAAGAGAAAATCCCAACCCAGAGAGGAACCTGGTCTCCCAGATACCAGGGTTCAAATGCCCTGATCCTAACTTGGTCCTAACTTATCCACCACAGAGCCCCTCTTGAGCTCTCACTATATACCCCAAAGTCATGACGGGGCCCAAAGTATAGTAAACTTCGTCAGTTTGCCTTTATTGGGACCCATCATCACAGGGAGGTCAGAATGGGAAAGGATTCATTTACTCAGGCTACAAATATTGGTGCTTAAGTAAATTGGTGACCACCATGTCATAGGCTAGGGATCCAGTGGAGAATAACACAGTCACGTTCTCTGACATCTGCGGCTTATAGCCTAGTCGAGGAAAACAGTTAAGAATCAGATACAGATAACCCAGACCCGCTATCAGATAGTGCTAAGTGTCAAGAAGACAATAAAATAGGGGTTTGATATTGGGGGGTAAGAAGTAACACTGGATGCAGAGGTCAGAGAAATCTTCCCTGAGCTGGTAACTATGCTGTGACCTGACTGCTGGGCATTCCAGGCAGTCCTGGAGATCCTGTTTTGGATGGTCACCATGTCAGAGTTTCCACAGTGACATGAAGGTCACAAGGATCCCCAGACTCTAATTTCAGTCAACAATGAATCACAGTGACTCTGCACGTACCACCATCCTTTCTCCAAACCCCCACCACACCCGCCACACCCAGGATGGCAATTTGTTTGACCAACAGGGAAAAGATTATTCCAAAATACACTTGGTGTAAAGCTGCAGTGTGGTAGGTGGGGTCTCCAGCTCCCCTTTCACAGTAGAATCTTTAGGGATCCAGCTGCTGTCAGGGCCTTGCTCCTGGAGTTTATTTCCACAAAGTCTCCCTCTTGACATTTCCGCATGATAAAAGATAATGGAGGCAGGAGTCTTTACTGCAGATAGAAGATAGTTAGCGTTTGCAAGGGCGAAGGGAATGGACATTACCTGAACTCTTCTATGTGCCAGTCTTGCACTGGACACTTCACCTGTGAGGTCTCTTTCAAGCCTGGGAGGAAGGTATTAAAAGTACCATTATGACAGCCAAGGATATTGAGTCTCTGAGGAGCAAAGCAGTTTCTTCAAGGTCACACGGCAAGAAAGTGGCAGAGCTGCACTAATAACATTATATCACTAACACATTATTAATTATATTATGCTAATTACATTAATGAAATGCACTGATCTTTTACTAGGTTTCAGGATCCTCGTCAAATGCCTTAGCATCTCGCAGGGTTTCACTGAGTTCTTACCATAAATGATTAGTATTCCCATCTAGCAGATGAGAAGACTGAGACTCTGCAGGTGAAGTAGCCTGCCCCAGGTCACTCAGGCCCCCACGTGAGAAAGCCAGGATTCAAACCCAGATTTGTCTGATGCCCCCTTCTTTGTTTCAGAAGGAGAGACTGATGTCAAAGCAGAAAAGGATGGAATCATTCCATATTAAAAGGGACTAAACAAATATGACAACTAAATGTAGAGCCTGTTTCTGGACTGGAAACTGAACCGAAGGGAGAAGTGCTATCAATTACGATTCATGCTGACCAAATTGGAGTGTGAATGGTAGACTAGATAAAAACGCCGTATCAGTCTTGATTTTATGATGTTGGTGACTCTGCTGTATGTAAGACAATACCTTCATACTTAGGAGACACAGTACAGTGTGCAGAGGTAAAAGGCAACCTCTTCGTATGGCTCAGGTAAAGTGTGTGGACAAGTGCATGTGTGAGAAAAATAGGCAAATGAGGCAAAATGTTAATGATCGATGAATCTAATTGATATATTCACTTTTCTGTATGTTTGAAAATAGTTCTAAGTAAAAAGTTAAAAAGCAGGAGAAAGGGAATTGCCAGATGTTGTATGATTAAGCTTGCAGGTATTTCCTGAATCCCACTCCAAGGCTGTTTCAACCCTTTTCTGTGTCCTAATTCTTCTCCTCTGTCTGAAATTCTACCAATATTCGTTCCTTCAGCTTTACATGTCCAGTTTTCAAATGCATATACTTTCGAGAGTTGTCATTCAGATCTTCAGAAGACTGATGTGAGATACTAATATTCACTGTTATTTATTGAACATTACACGCTGGGCACATGGTAAACACCTTCTCTACATTGTCTCATTTAATTGACCTAACAGTCCCAAAGGACAAAGAAGTTAGTTACTCTTACTATCGTCATTTTAGAGACCCAGAAACCTGGCACGGAGAGTGTGGTAACTGGTCCCAAGTGCCTCAGCAAATAGACAACAAAGCCCAGGTTTGAACTGAGTCATGCCTGAGTCAAAGGCCCAAACTCTTCACTTCTATAAAAGTGTATAAAAGTGTGATATTTCAAACAAGTAAACAGTTTGCTTTCATAGCAGAAGAATAAACTAGATACCAATTAATACACCTGTTTGCGTTCTTCCCAATATGCACAACTGATTTCCTAATCTTGACTCAGTATCTGAGGCACCACTTTTAAGTGCTGGGTCAGTAACTTTCATTTTTTGGAGAAGCATCTTTAAAAGGTATCAAGAATGACTTCCTGCCTTGGGACATCAGCTGGCTTCTGAGCAACCACAGGGAATTTAGAAATCACTAGCAACTTACCAGATGTTATTATTACCACTATCAGGCATCTGACTTTCCCAAGGCAGTCTTCTTGTCAAATGGCTATCCCACTGGCAGACCACAGCTCTTCCTAAATGTGTCAGAAAACACAGATCTCTGTGGCTGGCAGCCCATGAGGATCCAAAGTCAGAACCCCGTTTGGAAGCTTCCCCACCACCCCAGTAGCCAAATATAAACTCTTGCAGAACATATATGTCCCTGAAAAAAAATCCTTTTTTTTAAAGATTTGATTTATTTATTTGAGAGACAGTGAGCAAACAAGAGAGAGAGAACAGGAGCAGGGGCAGGGGTTAGAGAGGTAGAGGAAGAAGCAGGCTCCCCATTGAGCGGGAAGCCTAGAGCCTGATGTGAGGCTCCATCCTGAAATTCCAGGATCATGACCTGAGCCAAAGGCAGATGCTTAACTGTCTAGCCACCCGGTGCCCCAGTCCTTAATTTTCTAGTCCTATCTTTTCCTGCTCCTCTTTACTGCCAATTCAGATCATACTAAATTTCTGGTATTTCCCTGGAAAGTGTCTGATTCTATCTCATACTTGAGTAAATAGCTCTTCCTTATGCTCAGAATGCCCCTTGTCCTAATTCTAACTTTTCTTACTAAATTCCAGGTTGTTCTTTCTGTCACAGCCTAGATGTCACTTTCTCCAGGAAGTCTTCCCTAAAGATTGGAGTACATGCCCCTTCATTGGGGTCTCCAGGGTCAGGACATTAACTTGTTTGGTCCCTTTTGAATCTCATTGTAAAGGCACATCTCTCTCTCTTTTTAAGTTCTTTTCAGTCCCATGAATCAGAGACTATGTTTTGTTCCCCCATTATTGACCA